TTTTTTACTATATTTGTGAATAGCATCCTGTGTATATTTAGATATCATCCCAAATATAAAAATATTTCCATTCTTAACACCAAAAATTATCATAAAAACAAATCCAAAAAATTAAAAACCAGTATACATGTTCAGAACTTGGTACATTTTGATTGATTAACGAAAGCATTTCATTGAAGCTGCTTAATGTGTCACATAATCATTGTAGCAATAGGATGAAGTTTAATATAGTATTTTAGGAATCTTTGAGTGGTGTAACACATACATACTTAAAGGAGTTGAGATGTAAAAAAAAAACTGTGTCAACTATTTAAAGTAAATCACTACTATGTCCGTAACTGGGCAGAACGCAAGGTTACTGATAGCTTCTCTACTTACAGCTAATTTTTAATTAGTGACACTGAATAATTCAAAATCTAAAACTAATTGAAGTATTCGTTAACAAATAGAGTCCTTGAGTGGAGACCCCCCCTCAGTGGCTCCACAGCAAGTCTGAAGGCTTATAACACTGAAACAGCACAGATAGCCCATTGTGTAATAGCTTTGTACTAAACAAACAAACAAATCTTGAGTGGATATCTAAAACCTTCTTCTGTTGTTCTGTAGTATTGAGGGGAGACACAAAATGGTTTTCTGCTCTCTTGTTGCCTCTTGCGTTCTGTATTGACATGTTCTCGGGGGCACTAAGGACACCTTCATTCCACATTTTACGTGGTTGTCCTTTGAATTTCCATCTATTTATCTTTATGTTAAATGCTCTTCGTGACAGATAATTTGGATGTTGTCTAATTAGGAGTCTGAACTGCTTCACTTGTTGTATGATCACCTTTGCTTATGTCGTTATGTATTTTGCCTCTGATGATAACACCAAGAATTTTTCTGAAACATCTCATTTCTGGTTTAAACCTTAGAATATAGATTTTTATATTAACACTTTAAAAAAAGTTCTAAATGTTGCACAAGGATATTTGAAAAAATATATTATTGTTGTACAATACTAACTTCCTGATTCGTCAGATTGTTCTGCAATTATTAAAAATACAACTTGCACTGTTTTAAATGTGTTTAGGGAATCAATAGTCATCTAACTGGATAAATATTAAAGAAAAGCAGTAATTTGTTTTTAAATTTAACTAATGCTCTTTGAATGTTTTACGAACCTATGGTATACACGATACACACATTTTATGTATGATAATTTTAAATATTCATAATATTGCATCAGAAATTTTGTTATTTATTACGTAGTATTATGCTTTTATAAGGGTTACGTTGATGATAATGTATTGTTCATTCACTTGATTATCTTATAAACACTGTAGGGTCTAAATCAGAGCATTTATTAATATTATATGTATTTCTTTTACGATACACACAAACTCTATAGGTACTTTATATATTGATGTTAATATTGATATTTTACTGTCAGAATGTCATAGCCCCCACCCCTCCTCCCATTTATAAACAGAAGAGGTTTCATAAGAAGTGTTTAAACATTTGTATTGTGTAGATTCTTTACATTTACTCGCATTCATTACATGACCACCGTGAAAGACAAGCTACGCAATGTATACAAGTTAACTTTATTTTGTTTAAGTATTTATTTTTTGTGAGGTTAATTTAATTTATGTTGGCGTACAAGTATATGCTTAGAAAGTATGGTAGTTGGTTATAGGTTGTTTTGTGAAAAGTATAATTTGGGTACGCTTTTAACACGTTACAACAGAAAATATATTTAACTGTGACAATATTCAGTAACGAGTGAAGTGAAATAATCGAGAGAAAAAAAAGATGATTGATATTCATGAAATGGATATGTATGTATAGTTATGTAATTAAAAAATATCCACAAACTGTTTCTTAGCACATGGTAGTTACTGGTAATGTTATGTAGGATTGTTATAATAACCTTAACATTGAAGAAATTAAGTTACTTATAAAACCCTTGGGCTAAACATCACCCAGCAATTCTCGTGCCGGACTGTGGATTTAAGGTTTGGTGATTCTCTTTCCTTGTCAAAAAAAATAAACAAATCACACACTTCACTTTGGGGCTACGAATGCATTATAAGAGTAATCGTAAAATCTCACTATTTGTTTTAAAATTAGTAGTCCAAGAGTTGGCACCAGGTGGTGTTGACTAGTTGCATTCTCTCCAGTCTCTTACTTTTAAATTAGGAAACTATCACTGGCAGCCCATTGAATAACCTTGCAGAGAATTGAACAAACAAACAATAAAACCCATGACTAGCTTCAGTTCTGTACTTTAAACTGTTTTGATACTTGTTATATTGTAACTTTAAATGTAAGAATAAGTTTTTTTAAGACAAGTATTTTATGTATTTAATAGTTAACAGTTGTCTCAGGTAACAGTGTGTTTGCATGTAGATAATATTTTGTTTTGTTTTTCAACTTTATAATTCTTTAAATACAGAATTCTGTATTTCTATCAGTGAGTTTCAGATCCAAGTGAAAAAAATTCCAACCACTGTGAAATTACCAGACTTGGAATTTTTTAAAACTCAAGTTGTATTCTTATCTTATCTTAAGTTACTTAGGGTTACTGAACTTATTAGATTCTAACATTACAGTTTGTTCTCTAATACTTGTATAGCAAAATACGAGTTTTTTACAGTCCAGGACTAGCTGGACTGCTATAAATTAATGCAGTCTATAGGCTTTGATTTGTAAAACATTCATTGTTATTACCACTGATCTCCAAATATGTTGAAATTACTGCTCCATCGAGAAAAGACTAGATATTTTGGTGATGTAAAAACCATCAGTGGAAAAATGTGCTGTAAAATTCGGGCTTTTAATAACTCTTCAACAGAATTAAAAGTTTGTTTTGTATAATAAGTTTTACGTACAGTATGACATGTTGAACTTAAAAATCTAAACCTTTGTAAAGGCTTAACAACACCTTCTTTCTAAAATTTCATATGACACATACAACTTACCTTGTGTATAATATCGCTGAAGTAGATGTAACTGTTGTTGCATCTTGAAAGGTTGCCTTACCCAAATAAACGTTTATATTGTTCTTTCCCTGTAATGTTATTAGACCAGACACTGAAAGAGGACTTTCGAGGAAGCAAATCATAGAAGGCAAGTTGATGTATTCAAAACTGTTGAATTCTACTTTTTCTCTGCATGACTGCCCTAATTCCACACATAACGAGTGCATGGGTTTACTTGTTGTTTTCTTGAATAATTCAGCATGTTAATGGGTCTTGGCTGCATGTTAATGAGTCTTGACTGCATGTCACTTTATTGCCAGTTTTCTGTATGGGTTCTGTGTCTGGAATACAACATACATTCCCTGAAATGTAAACATACGAGGTGAGAGGAGATCTCGAGAAAATAGTGATGAGTAAATTCAAGAAACAGAAAATATTTACAGATAGTTGTTGGAAAATAAGTTATGGGAATGGTAGAAAAAAAAGTGGCTAAAAAATGGAAGAGCGGGATGGGAGAAGAGTAGAAATCAAAAGTAGAAAAATGGCAGAACCAAGAAAATATATGGATAAAAGTGAAAGTACGAGAGGTTAATATAAATAATTAAAATTTAGAGGAAAGGGAACAGTAAAATGGGAAAGGATGATATATATAGGGGAAGCTTTATAAACGTCATAAATGTATATTTTTTCATTATGCTTATATTTAGCTGCTATTCTATTACCCATACTTTCTTCCTCTATTCTACCAAAATAGAGGAAAAGAAGAAAAATGAACTAAAAAAACGAGAGAACTTAGATGAGCAAGAGGATATATTTGATATGACTAGAAACATAAAAAAAGGGCCAAAAAAGAAAATGAGGAGAAGGAATCCAGGAGTCAAAGGAATGGGAGGAAGAAAGTATAAAGTAATGATAGGAAGATGAATTTCTAGTATTAGGAAAATGATACGACAGGTGTGCTAGAAGGATGTGAATAAAAGTGTGTATAAAAAGAAGGAGAAAGCAGAGGATAGCAAACAGTACTGATTGTTTTGTTCAGTGCAAAGTTTGTAAACAGAGAACCTCAATTGATAATAGTGCTAATTAAAATATCCCTTTTTTAGAGCACTCAGTGAATATTTTTTGTTTATTTAAATGCTGTTCAGAGTGAGAGGAGTAATGAAAGATCTAGAAGCAGAAAGATAAAGTAAGAGGTAAGAACTAAGAAAAATGTAGATCAGACAAAGAACAATGGGCATTTGTCGACATAAAGATAGTAAGAAAAAAGAAAATGTATCTTACTGTTGAAAATGAGAGCCCAACTTCAAGCTGAAATTTATAAGAAAATGTCATGCTCATGTCGGTGTAAAGAAATGAATGCCTGGATGAAAGCAAAGGAAATTAGGCTTGGTCTTGTTGAACAATCAGCGGGTCTTGAGACTGTACTGTCATTAAACTATGACATACTTAGTTTACAGTAACATCTTACTCTTAAAAAACTAAAATTTGAATTTATTGAAATGTTTTACTTCAAAAATGGATTAATTATTACAAACTTTGAAGCTCCTTCGTTAAGTTAGGGACCGAGGAATATGTGACTCTAATTTAAACTAAACCGTTAGCAGTGTTATCAGTAGATATGTTCTCTTGTTTTTGTTGATGATTAAGCTGTAATTAGCACTTATTTTAACTGTTTTGATCCTTTCATAAAATGCTTGATGATTAAACTTCTTAACAAAAATTTCTCTCTGAAGTTACAAAAATATCACTGGAATGATTTTGTTTCGATTAAGTATTGCATTTTTTTTTTCAGATTTTTTTCCATTGATTTTATCATATTCTGTGAAAGTTTTAATGTATTCATTTTTTTTTTGTATTTTTTTCCCTTCATGATTAATGAATGCTAAACTTGAAATTTTGGTCATACTTGAAAATTTTACAGTTTTTTTTAAATGCATTTTTCCTTCTTTATAAATGTTTTCCCAAACAGCATCAGTCAATTTGTGTGAGTTGAGGACACAACGTTTGTTTGATTTTTTTTTAAATTGGTTCAAGTTGCTATGTGGATTATTGATAATAACTGACTTTGAGGTATGTTTCTGTGAGAAGTAGTCAGTAGGATGATGGGGACAGGGAAGTTAAGTTTTCACTGTCTTCTCTTCTTATATATATCAGATACGGGTAGGAGAATGTTTCTTTGTTAAGGTAATAAGTTTTTGTGTGTAATATTTCATAGGACGTTGTACTGTAATAAAGCTAGTAGTTCTGATAGTGGTAAGTTTGTTAGGACGTTGTACTGTAATAAAGCTAGTAGTTCTGATAGGTTAGGTTACAAAATGAGTGTAATGTTTCATAGGACGTTGTACTATAATAAAGCTAGTAGTTCTGATAGTGGTAAGTTTGTTAGGACGTTGTACTGTAATAAAGCTAGTAGTTCTGATAGGTTAGGTTACAAAATGAGTGTAATATTTCATAGGACGTTGTACTGTAATAAAGCTAGTAGTTCTGATAGTGGTAAGTTTGTTTCAATATTTTCTTGAAAGTAGATAAAGATATTTTCAGATATAATAAAAATATTGTAATATTTTGATTAACAATAATTTCCAAATAGTTAACTTTTTTTCTTGTGTAGAACTTGTTTTAGCTTGTACAGTTAATAAGAAAATTATAAACACCTTTTGAATTGATTCAGAGGCACACTTGAATAAACATCTTCAGAGGAACATCAGTAACATCAAGTTAAATCATGCTAATGAATAAAATGTTAAGCCTTTTCTTGGATAAGTTAAGTCTTAGTGTCTCATACTTAGGTAGGATATGCAGGAAATTTAATGCACATGAACACATACAAGGTTGTGGCACTAGACTGCCTTGACTTGCTTATTTTGTTATACAGGTCATCAATGATTTCAGATAACATAAACCGTGTACTAATGATATGGTAAACTAGCCAAAGTACCCGTCCCCTGGACAGAAGTTATGTAAATTCATGATTAATGAAAGGTTATCTTAGGACATGAAAAGTTGCTTCCCTTATATGTTTGAAATGAGTAGGGCTATCCCTAATATTTGATATGTAACTAGAAGGATATTGGTTGTCAGTATTACCTAGTTAATATATACTTTCAAGGATACTAACTTTCTAGAATGACTTGCGTTTTCTCTAAAAAGACAAATATAGTTAAAACTGCATATGTGATGAAAATATCAAAATAAAATAATAGGTTGAATAATCACAAAGTTTTTTTATATTTTTGTTTAAAGACGGATGATGTTTCGACTTAGCATTCTTTGTCAGTCGGTTGTAAGCTATACAATCTGATGAAGAACTCAGAATGTCATCCGTCTTGAGTACTAACTCAGAATGTCATCCGTCTTTAAATAAAAATGTTAAAAACTTGGGGATTGTTCAACCTATTATTTAATTTTTTGGTTTTCTCTAACACTTAATGTGTAGTTAATTTATAGGATATTAACTGTATGTAGTGAATTGTCTGTATTACCTAGTTAATACTAACTTTCCAGAATGGTTTAGGTTTTCTCTAACACTTAATGTGTAGTTAATTTATAGGATATTAACTGTATGTAGTGAATTGTCTGTATTACCTAGTTAATACTAACTTTCCAGAATGGTTTAGGTTTTCTCTAACACTTAATGTGTAGTTAATTTATAGGATATTAACTGTATGTAGTGAATTGTCTGTATTACCTAGTTAATACTAACTTTCCAGAATGGTTTAGGTTTTCTCTAACACTTAATGTGTAGTTGATTTATAGGATATTAACTGTATGTAGTGAATTACCTGTAGTACCTAGTTAATACTAACTTTCCAGAATGGTTTAGGTTTTCTCTAACACTTAATGTGTAGTTAATTTATAGGATATTAACTGTATGGAGTGAATTGTCTGTAGTACCTAGTTAATACTAACTTTCCAGAATGGTTTTGGTTTTCTCTAACACTTAATGTGTAGTTAATTTATAGGATATTAACTGTATGGAGTGAATTGTCTGTAGTACCTAGTTAATACT